GTCACATAGGAAAGCATTCATAATGCTTTCCTATGGACGCTGGCGTGCTCTCACTGTGAAAATCACAGTGAGAAGCACGCAAGCGCCTCTAGTGGCTGTCAATGAGACAGCCACTAGAGGATTAGGGGGAAGGCTTAACCCATTCATAAACATAGCAGTTTCTCTGAAACTGCTATGTTTATGAAAAAATGGGTTAACCCTAACTGGACCTGGAACCCAGACCACTTCATTAAGCTGAAGTGGTCTGGGTGCCTAGAGTGGTCCTTTAATTGATTATTCTTCCGTTTAGGACCTTACGGTCCTACTTTTTTTCTTTTTCTTTTCATACCTGTTAAGGACACCTCAGACTGCCCTCTGTGAATGTACTTATGTGTGTTGGTGAGTTAATCTGTAGTCTGTGTGTCAGTGAGCCTGTCTGTAGTGTGCTTGTTTGTAGTGGGCTTCTGTGTGTGTCAGTGAGCTTATCTGTGGTGGGCTTCTGTGTGTGTCAGTGAGCTTGTTATTAGTGGGCTCTTGTGTGTCAGTGCGTATGTCTATTGTGCTTGTGTGTGTCAGTGAGCCTGTCTGTAGTGTGCTTGTGTATGTGTATCAGTGATCTTGTCTGTAGTTAGTTTGTGTATGGGTTAATGAGCTTGTCTGTAGTGAGCTTGTTTGTGTGCATGAGCTTGTCCACAGTGAACTTGTGTGTGTCACTGAGCTTGTGTGGGTTAGAGAGCTTCTGGGTGTGTCAGTGCATTTGTCTGTTGTCAACTTATGTGTTAGATAGCTTGTATGTAGTCAGCTTGTGTGTATATAACACTGAGCCAGTCTGTGTGTGCCAATGAGCCTGTGTTATTTAATAATGTGTAACATGCTTTTTAATACATATATATTTGCTGCAGTGATGCCATTGACGTACTGATGCCAATATGCTGATATCAGCATGAAGGATTGCCCTGCTTATAGAAATGTCCCCAAGCAGGGCCCATCACAACAGACAAGGGGCAGCCTGGAGAGTGGGTGTTACAGCACTGTAATACCCACAGTTCTTCTGTAGTGAGGGGCTGCAGATAAGAAACAATATAACAGCTCCCAATACACACAAATATAAAGAAATACAAATACACTATTTGACACAATAAATTATAGGGCTGAAATAATATTTTTCCTGGGCTGCTTTCTGTTCCAAGTCTGTCCCTGTATCTCTGCTCAGCCTGTTAGTGGGCAAATGGGAAGTGATCTCTTCCACTTCATGTCCAGCCTCACTTACAGACACTGGAAGAGCTGGGAGAGGTCTGAGTTTTACACCATTTATAAGTATATCGCCAACTCTGCCATCATACTTAGGAGGCTTACTGGGCTACAAGGGACACTGGTCAAGGTTCCTGCCTCTCCCTGCAAGCCTATTTAAGCTCCAAAAAGTTTAAATTATAAGTGTTGAAAACAGGCAACCACTAGAGGACATGCACCTGTAGGCAGGTCATACTCTGCATAGTGGGAAATCCAGCCTTGTTACTTAGGTTGTGATTAAAAGAACAAACCTTATTAAATGATGTCTAGTACCAATGAAGACTTCTGATGGGAACAGGTAGTAACTAGAGTTGAGCGGACACCTGGATGTTCGGGTTCGCCGAGTTCAGCTGAACTTCGTCAAAAAGTTCGAGTTCGGGCTCGAACTTGACCCAAACTTGACCCCGAACCCTATTAAAGTCAATGGGGACCCAAACTTTTGGGCACTAAAATGCCTCTAAAAAAAGTCCTGGAAAGGGCTAGAGGGCTGCAAAAGGAAGTAAAATGGGGGTGAGAGTAGGACAAGTGCCCTGCAAAAAAATGTGGATATGGAAATCACTTAAAATAACATAAAATACATACAAATTAAAAATACAGCTGAGCCATAAAATAGCACTAGATGGAATCTTTGATTTTAGCTTTGGAAGAACATAAATCAAAATCTAAAGCATGGCTGTCAGGAGGATCACCAGAATGATCCATTTTAGAGAGGGTTGGAGTGCAGGGTATTCTCTTTCATTGTTCAAACTGAGCTCAACTCCTGATGCATGGAGAAAAGGCCTTCACAAGCCTCTGCTATTGTGTACATAGTTTATACTGAGGACCCATAGGTTGAGGAGGCGGTGACCGTGGCGGTGTAGGTGGAAGCGGCGGTGGAGGAGGAGGTAGCCAACACTTTTTTATATATATATTTTTTGATTGGGGTAGCCCCCAAAATATTGGGACATATAAAAAAAGAAACATTTGAGGCCTGCGGTGCATTTCTTGCAGTCCAATAACGCCATCAGGTTTTTAAAACTGTCCGTCTCCACAAGGCCACAAATTTTGAAATGCTGGCATTCAGGGCCAGGGCTGCGGGTGGCTAGGGGGGTACTTCCTCTTTCTCTCCAGTGTTTGGGAGATGGACAGCTGAACGCTTCCATGGGACAGTGTGGAGATGCTGGACAATTGTGTACCTGGCCTATGCTGGTGCAGGAACCCACCCTCCGGGCCACTTGTGAATGACAGGCCTGATAACCGTGGAAATGACCCCTCTTCCTCCTTCTCTTCCTCCTGTGCCACATCCTCTTCCATCATCGCCCGAAGCGTTTTTTCAAGGAGACATAGAAGCGGGATAGTAAGGCTGAGAACGGCATCATCGGCACTGGCCATGTTGGTGGAGTACTCGAAACAGTGCAAAATGGCACACAGGTCTCGCATGGAGGCCCACTCATTGGTGGTGAAGTGGTGCTGTTCCGCAGAGCGACTGACCCGTGCGTGCTGCAGCTGAAACTCCACTATCGCCTGCTGCTGCTCGCACAGTCTCTCCAGCATGTGCAAGGTGGAGTTCCACCTTGTGGGCATGTCGCATATGAGGCGGTGAGCGGGAAGGCCGAAGTTACACTGCAGCGCAGACAGGAGAGCAGCAGCAGGGTGAGAACGCTGAAAGCGTGCACAGACAGCCCACACTTTCTGCAGCAGCTCTGATATATCTGAGTAGTTTTTCAGGAATTTCTGCACCACCAAATTCGGCACATGCACCAGGCAAGGGATGTGCGTCAAACAGGCTAGGCCTAGAGCTGCTACGAGATTTTGCCCATTATCGCACACCAACAGGCCGGGCTTGAGGTTTCAGGAGCAACAACCACTCATCGGTCTGTTGTTCCATGCCTGTCCACAACTCCTGCGCGGTTATGGGGTTTTCCCCCATACATATGAGTTTTAAAACAGCCTGCTGTCGTTTTCCCCTGGCTGTGCTGAAGTTGGTGGTGAAGGTGTTACGCTGACCGGATGAGGAGGTGGTAGAGGAGGAGGAAGCGGAGTAGGAGGAGGAGGCAACAGGAGTCAAAACTGTGTACCCAAATAAAGATTGTCAAACGTTGTATCCTGGAACTGTGTCCCATCCGGTTACTGGGGAAATGGGTCTGACCTATTCTAATCAAAGGGGATAACCATTGGTTACCCAGGTCCCGCTTCAATTGGTGGCAAGCGTTGGGATCCCATGTCCCTGCCAACAGACCCATTGACTACAGTGCTCTAAAGCGACCTACACTGCAGGACTTGTGTGGAGCCAGAGGAATAACGCCTGGTGGGCGTAACAAGGCCAAATTGACTGCTGCGCTCATGGAGGACAACCAGGCATGCAGTGAGGCAACGAACCCCAGCCAGGGGCCGGACATGAGGAGGAAGTGTGCAAGGAGGTGGACCGGCACCTGGCATATTACCGAGAGCCACCCTCAGAGGAGATCATCAGCAAGACCTTTTTGGAGGTGCAAGCCTATGTCCTTGCCAATAGACAGAGGACGACCTCCATGAACCCAGAGGAAGGAAGAAGGGAGCAGAGGGCGCCGGCAAGCACAACCACCCTGGCCCACAAGCTACCATACAATGCCTTCAAAGAGTTCAAGGAAGCAGAAGAAGCCATCGATGACTTTTTACAAGACTTTGAGCGCCAGTGCCTACTCCAAGATGTGGACCCCAGTGACTGGCTCACCATCCTGGCCAGCAAACTAGTGGGAAAGGCAGCTGATATTTACCAGGCTGTTCCAGAAGAGCAGAGCGGAGACTATTCCTTTATTACAAAAATCCTCCTGGTCCAGTATGCGGTCACCCCCGAGCAATACCGCCGAAAGTTTAGGGGGACCCGGAAAGAGGAGAAGGACTCCCATGCGGAGTGGGCATGCCGCATCACAAGGGCCACCCAGAACTGGCTCAACTCCCATCAAGCCAAGTTCCCGGAGGAGATCACCCAGCTCGTCATGCTAGAGCGCTTTTTCAATGGGCTCCCCAATGACATGGCTGGTGAGAGACCACCAGCCCCAGACCCAAGAAGTATTGGTATGAGCTGCTGAAGCTAGCTCACGATATCCCCTTGGCACGGTATTTGGGCAGGAGCCAGACAGCGTCTCGGCTCACCCAAAGCTTCTTCTGGCCAGGCATCTCTCACGATCTGAGGCAGTACTGCCAGATGTCTGCCAAAGAGTGGGGAAGAGAAGGGACCGGCACAGGGCCCCCCTCCATCCCCTACCTATTAGTGAAATCCGTTCGGCAGAGTAGCTGTTGACATTATAGGTCCCCTAGCCAGGCCTAGTCCCTCTGGGAAGAAGTACATTCTGACCATTGTGGACTACGCGACTTGGTACCCTGAGCAGTATTCGGGCAGAGACTGTGGCTGAAGCCTTAATGCAAGTGTTCTCCCGGATGGGTTTTCCCTGGAAGATTCTCTCAGACCAGGGCACCCAGTTTACTGCCGAAATGACCCACCAACTGTGGAGATTGTGCACATTAAACCAATCCTGAGCTCCCCTTACCACCCCCAGACCAATAGCCTGTGTGAGCTCTTCAACGGTACATTGAAGCAAATGCGCCATACCTTTGCAGTGACTCACAAGGATTGAGAGAGATTCCTGCCCCATCTCCTGTTTGCCTATCGGGAGGTGCCACAGGAATCGACTGAGTTTGCCTCGTTCGAACTGCCACGCCAGGGAACTCCTTGGAGCTGGCTTTGGTGTGCTTGGTTCTGGGTGCGGTGGGCAGTAGCAGGCGTACTGTCTAGGTGACGGCTGCTCCGCTTTTGCACCCTGCTCTAGAAGGAGGAGGTGGTGACCGCGGCGGCGACGACGCATTTGAATATCTGCCCTATCAACTTTCGATGTTACTTTCTGCGCCTACCATGGTGACCACGGGTAATGGGGAATCAGGGTTCGATTCCGGAGAGGGAGCTTGAGAAACGGCTACCACATCCCAAGAAAGCAGCAGGCGCGCAAATTACCCACTCCAGACGCGGGGAGGTAGTGACGATAAATAACAATACAGGACTCTTTACAGGCCCTGTAATTGGAATGAGTCCACTTTAAATCCTTTAACGAGGATCTATTGGAGGGCAAGTCTGGTGCAGAGCGACTGAACCGTTCGTGCTGCAGCTGAAACTCTGCTATCGCCTGCTGCTGCTCGCACAGTCTCTCCAGCATGTGCAAGGTGGAGTTCCACCTTGTGGGCACGTCGCATATGAGGCTGCAAGCGGGAAGGCCGAAGTTACGGTGCAGTGCAGACAGGTGAGCAGCATCAGGGTGAGAACGCCAAAAGTGCACACAGCTGCTACAGTGAAACTGCGAATGGCTCATTAAATCAGTTATGGTTGCTTTCATTGCTCCATCTGTTACTTGGATAACTGTGGTAATTCTAGAGCTAATACATGCCGACGAGCGCAAGGGTACAGCCGCACCGCTTTTGCACCCTGCTCCCTCTTATGCTGTGCTGGTGCCTCTGTGCGACCACCACCGCTTCCTCCAAACTGCATACGTCACTCGCATGACCTTCATTCCGTGTAGGGTCTAGGACCTCATCATCCTCCACATCATCTTCCACCCACTCCTCAACCCTGCCCTCCTTGCCGGTCTGCACACTGCAGAAAGCCACAGCAGTTGGCACCTGTGTTTTTCCAGCATGTAAAGTCTGCAAAGGACATATGGAAATTGTTTTAGAATTGTATCCAGGCAACAGTTTTCCCTATAAACTGACCTCTCAGTTTGACTTGTGAGGGTATTGCCCCAGAATTACAATATTGATAACTGGTTTAAATATAGCAGCTTGTTATCTGGTTGTTTCTAGTGTAGAAAATATCAATCTGTTTTCTATCACTTAGATCCGTCTAACAAGTGTTGTAGGTGTGAAACAATATTACAAGTGACCGATGTAGTAAATTCGAATCAAAGTTCCATTTGCAAAAAAGAATTCTCACCCATTTTCTGTGGGTTATTGCATTTTTAAGATGTAGACTTATTGTATCACACTAGCCATGCACAGGTAGATTGCCTGGCACATTGTTTTGGTGTTTGGTTTTTAACTTTGTAGTTGTGTCTTTACACAATATAGAAATGTATATTAATGCTTCTGAAGCGATCACAATAACACTTATTTTTCACTTTTTAAAAAAGTCTTTAGACTTTCTTGAGAAGCGGTAACTAGCCAGTGTTGCACACATACACCAGATATGAAGTGCACACTCCAAATGTACTATTTAGCACCTAAAGAATTTGAATGTTTAAAAATGCGATGTAACCACAGTATTTGACGGTTCTATTTGACTCTCATATATGAAGTGCACACCACAAATGTACTTTTTTTTATAAATTCTTTATTTTTGGATCTTCAAAAGAAGTTATTGTTTTTTTTTTTTTTTTTTTAAACAAAACGGGGTACAGAAAGGAAAAAAGGGGTGCAACATGTTACGGTTAAATCGGTTACATTTGTACTCATTACTCTTTCCCTGTTTACATTCGTTGTTTCAGTTGTCCAACATGTAACTCCCCTTGCTATGGGTCTGGAAGGGTCGGGTGTGTAAGATGGATGGGGGTGTCCCCTCTGTTAGGCTTAACCACCGTGTGCCCTGAGTTTAGGGAGTAGGCCCTAGGTGATGGGTTCTGGTGATACGCTGTGAGGCTCAAACCTGGTTTTCGCTTAGGGCGTGGGCTTTGTGAGGAGTCGTTGTCGTACTCTGTCCGTTGCGTTGCCCTGTCTCTGTCCTCTGGGGGTGAGGTGGTGCCTCTGGGGTCGGGGGTTTAGGGGTTTAGAACTTGGAGAGTGTCCTTGTGTCGTAATATCAGTTTGATGTGTTTGTGTGGTTGAGCTTGTGGGGTTCACCTGAGTTGGTTCAGGTGGTTGCTTGTAGTCGTGATGTTTGCAGGTTTGTGCAATTGTTTTCTGCTGGTTGTGGTGCTTTGATGTGTGTTGTGGGCGGGTGTAGGGTAGGGGTGGATTGTGGTAAAAGGGGGGGGGCTGTTCTCCCCCCCCCCTTCCCCGCTCGCGAAGTCCTACAATGCCAACCAGGGGTCCCAGATCTTATGGAAAGATCTAGTGTTCTCATGAATGAGGGCGGACAGTTCGTCCATCTCCATGGCCTCTTTAATCTTTCTCTGGGCCTCCGAGGCTGTTGGGATTTCTGGGCTGCCCCAGTGGGTGGCTATAGTTCTACGCGTTGCTAGGGCCACCTTTGCTACTAGTTTGTTTTGTGCTCGGGTCAGGTTTTCTAGGGGCCTGGACAGCAGCCAGGTCCATGGGTCTAGGGGGATGTCCGTTTGTAATGCTCTCGAGGTGGCAGCGGCCGTCTCTTTCCATATTTGAGTTAAGTGTTGACAATGCCACCACACGTGAATGTATGTTCCCTTTTCGCCACATCCCTTCCAGCATCTGTCCGAGTCTGTGCGTTTCATTTGTTTGAGTCTCAGGGGGGTGAGGTACCACCGGAGCAGGGTCTTATACGCCTGCTCTCTGTGGTTAACACAGATAGTCACTGTCGCTGTTGCTTCCCATATGTCAGCCCAGTCCGAGGGGTCCCCCGGGGGACCAAGATCCCTTTCCCAGGCCTTTACGTAGGAGAGGGCGTCAGGTGGGGTTTTAAGTGTTATGAGGTTATATAGGTTGGAGATTTGGCCCTTGTGTATTGGGTTGCGCAGGCAGTCCCTTTCGAATGCAGTGGGTTTCAACACCGCCGCAGCGGCTATGGTAGGGGTTGACAGGAAGCTTCGGAGTTGGAGGTATCTAAAGTGGTCAAACGTGTTATATGGTGTGGCGTTTGGCAATTCTGGGAAGGGGATAAGGCGGTCGTTCCTATAAAAATGACAGATTCTCGTAAGGTCGTTGTCCTCGTACCTGGTGAAATGTTGGGGCGTCATTCCCGGGGTGAATTGAGGGTTCCTCAGCACAGGCATAAGGGGTGAGGGAGTATTTATGAGGTTGTATTTGTCGGTCGCCCTGTTCCAGATGTGGATGGCTGTCGTGAGGGCTGGTGTCGTGTTGGGCTGTTGTGGTCTGTGTGTTTTTGGTATCCATAGGTAGAGTGTTGGCAGATCTCGTCCGAATAGGTCGTGTTCCAGGTCCACCCAGCGCTTGACCCCTGGGGGGGCGTGCATGGATTGGATTTGTGCAAGTTGGGATGCTTGGTGGTAGTCCCAGAAATTTGGCAGGCCTAGTCCCCCTTTTTTGTGTGGGATATACAGGGTAATTCGTTTTACTCTAGCTCTTTTCCCGGCCCAAATAAATTTATCAATGTGCATTTGGAGATTTTTGAAGTCTGCTCGTGAGAGTGGGATGGGGAGGGTCTGGAAGAGATAGAGAAAACGTGGCAGTAAGTTCATTTTAATCGCTGCCAGCCTCCCAAGCCATGAGATGGATAATTTTTGCCAGGTTTGCAGGTCTCTCAGGGCCTGGTCGATTAATGGGGGGTAGTTTAGCCTGTATGTGGAATGTAGGTCTGCTGGTATCTCTGTTCCTAGATAACGGATACTTTGCGTTTGGAAGCGAAACGGGTAGTTTTGTTGCAGTAGTGTTCGCGTGTGGGGTGGGGTTTGGATTGTTAGGGCTTCAGTTTTCTCTATGTTGAGTTTGTACCCTGAGATTTTGGCGTATGCCTCTAGTAAGTCTAACAGTGGGGGTAGGGAAGTCCCTGGGTCAGTCAGGGTTAGAAGCAAGTCGTCAGCATATGCTGCCACTTTGTATTCTTCCCTTCTTATTTTTATGCCTTGTATGGCAGGTGTATTGCGGATCTGTTGCAAGAGGGGTTCGAGGGAGAGGGCAAAGAGGAGGGGGGACAGGGGGCACCCCTGCCGGGTGCCGTTACGTATGTGGAACGGGGCTTGGCGGGCATTTGGTATTAGTAGTCGCGCTGTCGGGTTGGTGTAGAGGGTGCGAATTGCCTGTAATAGGGCCCTGGGGAAGCCGAACCTCGTCAGGACAGCAAATAAATATGGCCAGAGGATCCTGTCAAATGCCTTTTCGGCGTCTAGGGATAGTAGTAGCGTCGGGATCTGTCTGCGGTTGGCCGTCCAGATTAGGTCATAGGTGCGTCTTGTGTTGTCGTAGGCCTGTCTGTTGGGAATAAAGCCTACTTGGTCTGGGTGAATCAGTTTCGGGAGAAAATGTTTAAGTCTGTTCGCAATAAGCTTGGTAAATAATTTAACGTCTACGTTTAGGAGTGAGATGGGACGGTAGTGTCCTGGTTCTTGTAGGGATTTATTCGGTTTTGGTATTAGGCTAATATTAGCTTGGAGCATTTCCGCTGGGAGCGGTTCTCCTTTGAGGATCGATGTGTAGAGCTCGCTAAGATGTGGGATTAAGGTTGCAGAGAATGTTTTGTAATATAATCCCGAGTAGCCGTCGGGGCCCGGGCATTTGTTAGGTTGTAGAGCCTTAATCGTCTCTGCCACCTCCTCGATTGTAACTTCTGCTGCTAATGACTCTCGTGCTTCATCAGTGAGTTGCGGTAGCGGTATGCTTTGTAAGTATCGTGTTATGGCTACCTCTGTGTCTTGTGCGTCGTGTCGAGATTGGGGGTCATGGTCATAAAGGGAGGTATAAAATTGAGTAAAGGTTTCTGCTATCTGTTCGGGGAGGTTTTGTGTTTGGCCGTCCGGTGTATTAATCAAGGTTATTCGGTTCCGTTGTCTTTTCTTTTTAAGTCTGTTGGCTAGGAGTGAGTCTGCTTTGTTGGATTTCTCGTAAAACATCTGCCGTGTCCAGAGCAGTGCTTTTTTCGAGTCTTGGGCCATAAACTCCTGGATCGCTTGTTTGTGTACCTGTAGCTGTTGTTGTAAGACGGGGGTGGGGTTTTGTTTATGCGCGTGTTCCGCCTTGCGGAGTGCGGTGAGGTGTTGGTGTAGTCTAGATAGTTTCTCCTTTTTGTGGGCCGAGGCCGCTGAGATAAGGCTGCCTCTAATGACAGCTTTGTGTGCTGCCCATAATGTGCCTACCGAGGTTACCGAGCCTGTATTATTGGTAAAGAAGTCTTTTATTGCTGCGTCA